TAGTAGAAAAATTATTTTTGTAGTCCAATAAAATACAGTTACAACAAAATTTGCTTTATTTTTAAAAGTCGGCCTTACATCATAACCCAACCAACCTCAATAAATATCTCTAATAATATAGTAATAAAAATAAGAAAAAAAATTATTAGATTCTAAAATTTACTTTTTTTTTGTTTCCTTATACATTTTTTTCTATTTTCTTTTGTTGAAAATTGCAGAATTTTTTATTATTTCTAGAATTTTGGTCAGTCTTAAAACTGTATTTTTCAATATTAGTCTAATTACGACAAAAATAAGAAAGAAATGTTTTTTTTTTGGGTAATTTTGACACGAAATGACCTGATTTAGGTCCAATTGAAATATGTTGTTTAGTGTTTTACATATTCTACCCACGATTAGCACCATTATTATTATTATTATTTTCTCATAAAGAAAAAAAATCGTGTTTTTTACTTTTAATAGGTACTAAAAATACCGGATTTACGTCCACTTGAAATTCTTTGGTATGTCATATTTTGAACCACTGCCGTTACTATTACTATTATTTAGAAGAAAAAAGTACTTTTATTTGTTTTGCCACCTATATGACCGGTCCTGAGTCCACTTGAGTTGTTTTGGTGTAGTAGAAATTTTCTTTTTGAAGTTGTTTTTTCAAATTTGTGAAATAAAACACAGTTACAACAAAATTGCTTTATTTTTAAAAGTCGGCCTTACATCATAACCCAACCAACCTCAATAAATATCTCTAATGATATAATAATTTCTCGTGGGACGCCATTTTCGTAAATACAAAAGGTTTTTTCTTTCACTCAATGCAGGTATTTATGCCTAGGACTAGTCTACCTTTGATGGCCATTATCTACTTAAAACCTATTTCGATGTAGCCAATAACAGTCTTACAACATTCTAACATTTAAACATAACAAAATATCATCACTTGGAATTTCGGCTTCAATCACATCAAAGTGGCTTTGGCAAAAAACTTCTACTGTCACACAGCGGGAATGTCGAATTTTTTGGAATCACTGTGTGTATATTTTATTTTTTTTAAGCGATTGTCCTACTCGGGTTTTTTGGGGGGGAGTTGGCCGCGATGTCGTCCCGGAAGGCCAGGAAGCCCAATTGGGCGTGGGAAGCCTCGTTGAGGGCCCGGGAACGGATGCAAGCCCGGTACTGGTCGGCGGAGAGCTTCTGGGAGCCCCCGGTACAAACCTACATTTTTTTGTTATTAGGGAAATTTTGTGAAAAAAATTCTACCTTGGGGTGCCATATGTGGAAGATGCCCGGATCCGTTGCCCGGATTACTTTCATGTTACTCCGGACGTATTTCCGGTAGAGCATGACGTCCTCGCCGCCCCAACCCACGATGTCTTCGTCGAAGCCGCGGACTTTGAGGAAGTCGGACCTGGAGGAAAAATTATCAGAAAACTGAAAATAATTTGATCAAAAAGTGGGAAACTAATTTTTAATAAAAAAACAACGAAACTAAGAAAATAAAAATTTGTATATAAAACCTCGTAAAAAATAACGAAATAATAAACTAGAAAAAAATAAAAAAGTTAGAATTAAAAGAAAGAAGAAAGATAAAAAGTAAAACTAAAAAGATGAAAAGCAAAATAAAAAATACCATTTTT